ACAGGGACAGCTAGGGGGCACCATAGTGCACAGGTCTTCGGGCGGGGAGTCCCGAAGTTCAAATTCTACCGCAGACACTAGCTGTGTGAATCTGGGCAAGTCACTTAACCCTGTTGGCCTCAGTTTCCTCATCTGTAAAATGAGCTGGAGAAGGAAATGGCAAACCGCTCCAGTACCTCTGCCAAGAATAGCCCACATGGGGTCACGGAGAGCCGGACTCTCGGTCACTCAGTAAACACTTATTAAGCGCCTACCATGTGCAGTTCCCCATTTATGACTCCGGGCCTTGATTGAAAAGCTGGGGGGTAAGGGGAAAGGCTGCTGATCTTCCAGGCCACCTCGTTTGAGAGAAGGGGGAGGGTGTTATCCAAGGTCACAGGGTCACGGAGGGGGGTTCAGGCCTGGCCCCACCAGCATGGGAGCTCCCCCGGGGGTGGGAAAGTGTGTCTTTTGGCCTTCTTTTGTGTCCCCAGCGCTTAGCACAGTCACTGGCACCCGGCGGGGGATGTAACGCCCGACTGAAAGTGGGACAGTGACTGGCTCAAGGTCACACAGCCCTAAAGGGTAACGCCCTAACACTTAGAGGACTTGGGTTTAGATCGTGGTCAGGCCCTCTCCCGGGCCTCAGTGTCCCTTTTTCATACAGGAGGAGCACACATGGCGCCCTTCCCCCACAGGCTAACGTCCAGTCTGCTCAGCCCCTGATGTGGACCCACACCCGCGCCTGCGCCCTGCTGCAACCGACGAGCGCGCCCCCGCGGCGGACGTGCTCGTGCCCGCGCCCGGCCCCGCCCCGGCCGCGCCGCCAGGACCCTCCCCCTCCCCCCATCGAGGTGGCAGCAGCAACGGGAAGATGGAGGTAACGGAGCTGCTAGTGGTGTTGCTGCTGTTCACTTTGTTGGCCCTGCTGATAGTGGCGCTCGCAGCGCAGGGCCGGAGACGCTGGAACGAGGAGTCCGGCGACCCCCAGGACGGTAAGCGCCGGAATTCCGAGGCGGTTTAACCGACGGCGCGGCCTAAATGTTGCTGTGGAGGATCTCACGAGCTGTGCGCGGAGGCTACGGGTGCCGTGAGGGGCGAGGGGGCGGTGGCCGGGCGAAGCTACGGGTGCCGGGAGGGGGGGTGGTGGTGGTTGCGAAGCTACGGGTGCCGGGAGGGGGGATGGCTGGGAGAAGCTACGGGTGCCGGGAGGAGGGGGGGGGAAAGGAGACCGGAAGAAAGTACGGGTGCCGTGAGGGGCGGGGGTTGTGTGGCTGCCGGGAGAAGCTACAGGTGCCGGGAGGGGCGGAGAGCGGGTGAAGCAACGGGTGCCGGGAGGGGACAGGAATTCTCTGTGCGGGTGGGGCGACGTCAAAGACCGCGGAGATGGGAAGGAGCCTGGAAAGACACGTGGCACCCGGTGCGAGCAGAACCCTATGGTGGGGGCGGGGCCGACTGGGCTTTCCCCTCCCCCTCGAGGAAACTTCATTCTTCTCACAGGAACCCAACTCTGCCTCTAACTTCCCGGGCCTCAGTTTCCCTACCTGTAAGATAAAGGTTAACGTCCGTCCAGCCCCTGTGAACAAGATCAATCAACCAGTCCTTGAAAAAGCTATTCGCAAACGCTCAATGCTGTGCTCTGGGGCCAAAGCGGCCCCTGCCCTCAGGGAGCTGCCATTCTAATGTGTTTCTGGTGCTTTACTTAGAGGCCGGGTAGACTGGGGTAAGCCTGCTGCTGCAGGGGGCCCTTGGGAGAAAATAGAGGTTCCTAGAGGCCAAGATGGAGAGAGTGTGGGCAGTGGCCGGAGGCTGGACCTCCGCCCCCCCCAGACGGGACCACGTGGTGTTTTGTTTTAAAATAAGACTGTGCTGGTGATGTCTTGTTTTCACATCCCGTGAACTCCTTCCTGTGTTCTTCCCCACGCGTCCCAAAGAGTCATCTTTTAATAAGGAATTTTTAAGGAGGAACACCCTGAAAAAGCCCGACCCTGTGTGTAACCCCACCCCCGCCGCCCCTTGCCTCCAGAAGCGGGCAGGGTCCTCATGCCTCTGCTTAGGCCGACTCGCTTGGCAGCACTCAGCTTCAGCCGCTTCTTTGCTGTGTGTGTTGTTGGCCTGTTTCTGCTTGTTTCGCCTTGCATCAGCTCTTGTAAGGCTTCTCGTACTCCTCCCAATTGAGCGCAAGCGATTCGGGGCAGGGCGGAAGGCCGGGGCGATTGAGGAAAAAAGCATCCTGTTGCCGGGGCTGCTTGAATGTGGTTTTTAGGGATACTAGGGATTCTGAGAGGTAGAGGGAGGGTATTCCAGGTGTGGGGGGGAGATAAGAGTGTCCTGCGTGAGGAACTAAGCTTGTTTGTTGGTCAGTGATTTTTTAGTGGTGTTCAACTCTCAGTGACCCATTTGGGGTTTTCTTGGCCAAGATGCTGGAGTGGTTTGCCATTTCTTTTTCCAGCTCAATTTACAGATGAGGAAACTGAGGCAAATTGGGTGAAGTGACTTGCCCAGGATTATACAGTTAGTAGGTGTCTGAGGCTGGATTTGAACTCAGTCTTCTTGACTCCAAGCCCGGTACTCTAGCCACCGTGCCACCTAGCTGTCCAAAGTCCTGTTCAGCTATACCATAAGGTCCAGGGGAGTACTTTCTAATACGGTTGAAAACATAAGTTGAGGCCAGGTTGCAGAAGGCTCCAGATACCCCAAAGATAATTTTATATTTGACCACAGAGGTAGCGTGGAGCCACTGAGTTTAACGTAGGGGCTGGGAGCAACGTAGCCGTGCCTGGCTGCCTGTGCTTTGGGAAGGTCACTTTGCCAGCTTTGTTCAAATAGAGGAGAGAGAGGCCGGTTAGAAAGAAGCCTTTGCAGTAGTCTGAACAGTACTGACTGTTTGAATGGAGAGAAGAGGATGGATGTGGAAGATGTGGGGAAACGAATGGCCTGGTGTGGTGGACTGAGAATGACACTAAGGCTGGAACCTGGGTCTTTGATTTGACAGACCAGAACACTGTGGCCCTCTCTTGGAGGTGGGCCTCTGCCACCTCCGGCAGAGGTGTCTTAGAAAGCTACTGGGAGCTCCCAGGGTGTGCCCAGCTCTGGGTTAAGGACCGAGACTTCTCTCTTACAGAGCAGAAAACCAATGGAGTTTTCTTCCATAAAAGCCAAGCTCACAGGAAACAAAAGCAACGATACCATAAGGAAAAGCCTCATCAGCACATTTTTGTTCACGCTCTCCTGGCTGCTGCGTTGAAGGTAATCAGCCTCTTCCTTCCCATGAACAACCATGTACATACAGACATCTCTGCATCCCAGGACTTAACATCTCAGAGGTGTCACAANTGCTCTCCTGGCTGCTGCGTTGAAGGTAATCAGCCTCTTCCTTCCCATGCACAACCATGTACATACAGACATCTCTGCATCCCAGGACTTAACATCTCAGAGGTGTCACAAGTAGATGTCCCTCTACCTTCTTTCTCAGTCCAAACCTTTCTGGCCTGTGTCAGTAAGAAAAAACCGTAATTGGTACTGTTGCACTCCTGGGTCTCGGGGCACACGCCAGGCCATCAGATCTTGGGGGGGATGAGTGGTGGCAGGGCTCCCAGAGCTGCGTGGGAAATCTCCTGCCCAGCCCATGCTAAAACTACCCTTCTTTCTCACCCAGGGCCACAGCGGGAATGTCAGTAGCATGGACTTCAGCAACAATGGTAAATATCTGACGACCTGTGCTGATGACCGAACCATCCACATCTGGAGCACCAAGGATTTCTTGCATCGGGAACATCGAAGTCTTCGCGTTAATGTGAAATTGGACCATGCCACCTTGGTGCGCTTCAGCCCTGACTGCAGGTGGGATGGGGTGGAGCCTCAAGCCTACACAAGCACAGCTCTTGGGGCCACGTCCTTTAGGGTTTGCTCAGAGAGTGCCCCTCGCTGCCCCTTGGCACTCAGCAGAGAGGACCAGGCTGCTAGTGGGGTGTCTCTGCAAGGAGGGATGTACAGCAGTGCCCCTTTGCGTAGGGCCTCCTTTGGGCTTCTAGGGTCATCCCAGGGGTCTCCCTTTGAGAACAACAAGACCTTTCTGACTTTGGAGACTCACCCCCTGGGGTCCAGGGGGGTGAGAGAACCCAAGCCAATACCAGCCTCTGAGAAGGACCCAATGGGCAA